GGGGGCTGCAACTACACCCTCAGACGAATCAGGACGACCGAAAGCCAGCTTGCCCCAGAACCATCCTCTGACTACATTTCCCAGAGGCCACCGCGCCAAGAACTTCACTCTCGCGTTAACTCACTTACAATCACGCGCTGGCGGGACCCTCGGTTCTGCACCGGCAACTGTTGCCGTTCTATGGACTGTGGCTTAGGCAGATCCGAGGGTCAGAGGTGAGGAGCCTGAAGCTGGAGTCACGGCTTTGTTAGGCTGGGGAGGCGAGAGTGAGATCGTGCGACTGTGTGGCCGCGGTGGTAACGCGGTGCGTGATTGTGTAGCTGTGACTGTACCTGTGATGAGTGTGTGGGCTCCATTGATTACCTTGGGCGGCGCAGCCTGCAAGCCTGTGCCTGTGCTGGTGTCTCTTGACGCGATCCCGTGGTGTGCGTATCAATGGAACCACGTGCAACACTGTGTTCCGTGCCTTGTGACTCCCCAGCTGGGGTCGCATTGGTCCCTGAGGGGGTGTGTGGTCCTGTGACCGTATCTCCCTGCCCCGCGGAGCACGGGGAGGAGTGTGCGACCAGGTGCATCAGTGTGTGGAACCCGCAACAATGCGGTTGGAACTGAGTGTACGTGCCCTTTCGGGAAATGTGTGTTTGTGCTTTTTACCCTTGACCGATGTGTGTTTGTGCTTATGTGAACGTTCGATCTGTTAACGTTTCTCGTAGTTGCCTCGCGCCCTATGCCACCCTGCTAGTTGTGTGATTATGTTTGTGTATGTGGATAATGAGGCTTTTTCTCATGCATACTCATATACTACTCATTATACTACAGCTCGCCCCTCGTTTGACTCTTTTATGTGAATGCTGCCAGACACCGTTTTTATTTATTTTGTTCTGGAGAATTAAGGATTATCCGTGTGCAATTTAAAGGTGATTCATTTTTTTAAAATAATTTTTTATTAGTGAATCACCATGAGGTACAGTTACAGACTTACAAACTTTCGTGCTTGCGTTTCAGTTATACAGTGATCGAGAACCCATCCCCTCCACCAGTGCCCATTCTCCACCACCAATGGTCTCAGTATCCCTCCCACCACTCCCACCCGATCCCCTCCATCCTACCCCGCCTCTGTGACAGGGCATTCCCTTTTGCTCTCTCTCTCTCTTTTTGGGTGTTGTGGTTTGCAATAGAGGTATTAAGTGGCCATCATGTTCGATCTATAGCCTACTTTCAAGCCCGCATCTCACATCCCAAGCGGGCCCTCTTAGCACCCTTTACTTGGTGGTCCCTTCTCTATCTGAGCTGCCTTTTCCCCCAGCATGTGAGATTGGCTTCTAAGCCATGGAGTAATCCTCCTGGTACTCATCTCTACTATTCTTGGGTGTTTATTCTTCATTTGTTTTGTTTTTGTTTTTGCTATATTGTATTCTTCCTTTGAAGTATACTACTAATAATGGACACTGGGGTTATTTGTATTATTTTACTTTATGAACAGAGCTGCCCAGAATTCATTTATTCATTCTTTTTTTTTTTGTAGTTGAGGTAATGTGGTTACATGGTTACAGTAATACTAATCTTTATGCTTTTAGCTCTGCATCTCCACCACCACCAACAGGTCAAAGTGGCTCTTCTTTCTTTGGATTTCTGGCTCTGAGGGGACCATATGTGGTGCTGGATATTGACCCTAGGTTGACTGCGTGATCTCCTATCGCTCCAGACCTGGGTTGGTTTTTTTTCCCCCCTTTTAAAGGAATTTTCTATATCATTCTAATATCTAAAGTTACTTCTTCTTGTTACTGTGTTGGGCTGGAGCGATAGCACGCGGTAGGGCGTTTGCCTTACAATGGCCGACCCGAGTTCGATTCCTCCACCCCTCTCCGAGAGCCCGGCAAGCTACCGAGAGTATTCGATATGCCAAACACAGTAACAACAAAGTCTCCAATGGAGACGTTACTGGGCCCGCTCGAGCAAATCGACGATCAACGGGAGGGCCTTTACCTTTACCTTTACCTCTAAAGTTACTAGTGTTCACTTAATATCTTTTTAACGTCTTGTATTTGCCATAATTCTTTTTTTCTATTAGAATTGTATTATATATTTTTTTTGGTCAGTGTTATTTACACTGAGCAAAAATAATGTTTTTCCTTTAAGTACTTTGAAGATTTTTTTGCCACTTTTTTTTTCCAGCAGTATAGCTATGATGTACTTGGTTGTGACTTTGCTTTAGTTTTGCATTTTTTTTTTATTTTCTTTTATTACTCTTCAGTTCTGCTAAGCTTCTTGAAACTCATTTCGAGGGTTTTACTAATCTATTCAATAGTAGCTTCTTACAAGTTAATCTGTATTCTTTTCTCTTTCTGTGGCTTCACTTGCACACATGGTATACAGCAACTATGCCATGTGGCCATTATATTCACTTTCAATTTTCTTTATTCTCTGCAGTTGATATGCATTTTTTGTTGTTATCTTTGAGTTTAGTAATCCTCTCTTCTGTTTTTCTAGTCTTATGTTAAAACTATGTAGTGAAAAAGAAAACTCAACTATGTAATTAATTTGCAAATTTGCTGAATCTATTTAGTTATTCAATTTGTGCATGCGTGCGTATGTATGTGGGTTTTGGGCCATAGTCAGCAGTACTTAGGGGATATTTCCAACTCTGTGCTTGGGGTTCACTCCTGGTGGTACTCGGGAGACCATATAGTGCCATGGGTCAGAGCTAGGACTCCTAAGTGTAAAACATGCAAGGTAAACACTTTACTATACTACCTCTTTGACCCTCATGATAGATATTTAAGTGTGTAAAAATTTTTGATTTGAGAGCTATCATATGTGGAAGGCCCGGATTGATCTCGAGTACCACATGGTCCCCCCCAGCACCGCTGTGAGTGATCCCCAAACACAAAACTGGGAGGACCAGCAGCGACAGTATAGTGGGTAGGACACTGGCCTTGCATACAGCCAACTGGGGTTTGATTCCCTGGTACTCTGTATGGTCCTGGAGACTCACCAGGAATGATCTCTGGAAGAAGAGCCAGGAGTAAGCCCTGAGCATTGTTGGGTATGATGCAAAAACAAAAACAACCCAATAAAAAAACAAAACCCAACTGAACAAACACATCTGTCACATTACAAATTCAGTTATTCCCTTTCAATATTTCCATTAAGGAATTGTAGAGATAATACAGCATGTGGGTGCTTGCCTCATGTGGCTGACCTGGGTTCAATCCCTGGCACCCATATGGTTTCTGAGCCCCACCAGGAGTGATCCCTGAGTGCAGAGCCAGGAGTAAGACCTGAATACTGCTAAAAAGTATGGGGGAAAAAAAACATACACCAAAAAAAACTTCCATTAGTGTTTTAGTGTATCTTATTCCTTTGTAAGTTTTAAATATGTTACGTAGCTTTAGAAAACATATACTGGGGCTCTGGAGAGATCATAGAGTGGGGAAGTTGCTTGCTTTGCATGCGGCCAACCCAGGTTTGATCCTAGCATTCAATATGATCCCCCAAGCACTCCAGGAGTAAACTCCAAGAACAGGGCCTTAGTAATTTCTGAACTGAGTTCCTCTGGCATGTCCCCAGAATGTAAATGAGGGACATATGAGGGCCAGATAGGGAGGGTTCTGCCTTGTACAAAGATCCAGGTGTGATCCCTGGCACCACATATGTTCCCCAGAACCCTGCCAGGAGTGATTACTGAGCACAGAGCTAGGAGTATGCCTTGAGCACCACCAGGGATAACCCCTAAGTCAAATACATTTAATTTTTTTTTCTTTTTGGGTCACACCCGGCGATGCTTAGGGGTTAGTCCTGGCTCTGCACTCAGAAATTACTCCTGACGGTGCTCGGGGGACCATGTGGGATGCTGGAAATCAAACCCAGGTTGGCCGTGTGCAAGGCAAATGCCCTACTCGCTGTGCTATTGCTCCAGTCCCTAATATTTTTTTTAAGAAATAATTATTCCTATTCTGGCCAGGAATACAGCTGAGCAGCAGAATACCAGCCTTGCTGCCTTGCATGTGGAAGTATAAAAGTATATCCATTAATGGAATCCAGTGTAGGTAAGAGAATTAAGTAGGGACCAGAGAGATAAGGCACTTGCATTTGGCCGACCCCGGTTTGATTCCTGACACCACATATGGTCCTCAAGCACTGACAATGGTTACTCCTGAGCACAGCTAAGAGTAGCCCTTAAGCGGCACTGGGCCTGAAAATTCAAAACCAGAAATTTTTAATACTTAATAAAAAAATAGTCTGTATATACTAGTGTGTTCACATATGTGAAATAAAAATGCCAGCGTGAGGGATAAAGTCTGGTAGAATACTAGCTTTGCATTTGTAATAACTGCTTTTGATTTCTGGGATCTAAATTTATAAAAAGGAATGTGTTTAATGGTGTATTGTAATTTGCATAATAATATTGTGTATGTATATTTATGCAAACTATATTCACCCCATTGTATCAGGCTATTCAGGTTATTAACATTTTCCCAATTCTGAGGTTCCAGGAATTGGGGATAATGAGAACTTTGCCCATTCCTTAGTGTTGTACAGGACAAGCAGTGAGCAGAAATTATCATTTTGGGCTCTCTGGCCCAGGTAGTACAGCTGGGAGGGCATTTTTGCACACCGGCCACCTGGGTTTGATCCCCAGTGTCCCATATTGTCTCCTGAGCACCACCAGGAATGATTCCTGAGTGCAGAGCCAGGAGGAACCCCTGAAATTGCTGGGTATAACCCAAAAACCTTAAGAAAAAAAAAGAAAGGGACTGGAGGCGATAGCACAGTGGGTAGGGAGTTTGCCTTGCACGCGGCCAACCCGGGTTCGATTACCAGCATCCCATATGGTCCTCTGAGCACCGCCAGGAGTAATTCCTGAGTGCAGAGCCAGGAGTAACCCCTGTGCATTGCCGAATGTGTGTGTGAGAGAGAGAGAGAGAGACAGAGAGACAGAGAGAGACAGAGAGAGAGAAGAGAAAACAAAGACATGATCATTGTGGGAGCTATCAGGCATGGGGGATCTTACGTGGATCTTCTTTTGGCTCTTCAGCTCTGCCTTTTGCCAGAAGTGGAATCCAGAGGAAGACTGGTTCTTCGCTGCAGATATCAAAGCCATGTCTCAGGTGAGGTGCTGTTTCCTTGTACTAAAATAGAGACAGCTGCAGAGTTCAGGGAAGAGAAGCCCTTGTCCTCTGACCTCAGAACAGAGGCTACCAAATATGGGACTGAGATTAGATTGTGGGGGCCTATGGAGTCCACTGGGTAGTGGTAAAGGGATACTGATACTTGAGTGGTGAGTAAACACTGTACTCCCTAAAAAATACCAACATTTTGGCCTGAAGCAATAATACGGTGAGTAGGATGCTTGTCCTGCACACAGCCAATCTTTTATTTTTTTTAATAAAAAATGTTCAAACATGCATCCCTTCACCTATGTACATTTCCCACGACTCATATATCGTTGCCTGCCCCCCTCTAGGGTAGACACATACTTCCTTCTTTCTTCTTCCTCTTCCTTCCTCCTCCTTCTTCCTCCTCCTTCCTCCTCCCTCCTCCTCCTCCTTCATCTTCCTCTTTCCTCCTCCTCCTCTTTCCTCTTCTTCCTTTTTCCTCCTCTTCCTCTTCTTCCTCTTTTTCCTCCTCTTCCTTCTCCCTCCATCCCCCTCCTTCCCCTCCTTCCTCCTCCTTCTTCCTTATCTCCTCCTCCTTCTCCTCCTCCTCCTCTTCCTTCACCTCCTCCTCCTCCTCTTCCTCTTCCTTCTTTTGCTCTTGCCTTCATTTTCTCTCTACTTTTCTTTTGGGTATTATACAACCTGGATTTGATTCCTGGAATATATGGGACCCAACCCTGCCAGGAGTGATCCCTGAGCACAGAACCAAGGGTAAGCCCTGAGTACTGCTGGATGCGACCCAAAAATTAAAAAAAAAAAAAAATCCACATTTTGTTTTGTATAACTGTTACCTCCATAAAATTTCTAAAAGTAATTTGCAATAAATAAATAAAATTAAGTCTCTGGAGCAATAGTACAGTAGGTAAGACTCTTGCCTTGGAGTTGGCCAGCCCCAGTTCAATCCCTGGCACCCCATATGGTCTCCCAAGGCCTGCCATGAGTGATCACGAAGCATCACCGGGTGTGACTCAAAAAACAAACCAAAAAAAAAAAAAGATGTAGTTGGAACGTTGATATATGTAAGCATTTCTTTTCTCATCGTCATTCTTTTTTTTTTTTATTTTGTATTTTTTAGGTCACACCTGGCAATGCTCAGGGGTTACTCCTGGTTCATGCACTCAGGAACTACTCCTGGCCGTGCTCAGGGGACCATATGGGAATATGGGATGCTGGGGATTGAACAAGGGGCGGGCCGCGTGCAAGGCAAACGCCCTACCCGCTGTGCTATCACCCCAGCCCCTCCTCATCATCATTCTTTTTGGTGTTTAAAAAAATTAGAATCTTGGGACTGGAGAGGTAGTACAGCAAGTAGGATGCTTATGACCAACCCAGGTTTGACCCTGGGATTTTATATGGTCCCACAAGCCCGTCAGGAGTGATCCCTGAGCACCACCAGGTATAGCCACAAAAAAATTACAAAAGAAAATAATCAGAATTTTACTGACACTACTTATGAGCAATGCTAAAGTTCTCCTACCCTTGCTCTAAATATATGCAATTTAGGCATCTCTTGAAGAATATTTTTAGTGGTGGTGGGGCAGGTGGGGCTCCATCTGGCAGTACTCAGAGGCTGTTCTTGGCTCAGTGTTCAAATATTTGCCTGGCCGAACTTAGTTCAATCCCCAGCACTACATAATTTTTCATGAGCACTCCAGTAATGATCCCGGAGTAGTCTCTAAGCTCTGCCAGGTAGAGCACTACCACCTCCCCCATCTACCACTCCAGAAAATAAGATATCTGAGTATGACCACATTTGGAAGAAAACTTGAATACTGGTTAACATGGTCTCCCTTTAGGAGCCTGACTGCCATTTTCTCTTACACAACCCAGTACCTCCCCAGTTCTCCATTCATCTATTTTTTTATTTGGGTTTTGGGTCCTACCCGGTGGTGCTCAGGCCCGGCTCTGCACTCAGGGATCACTCCTGGTGTGGCTTAGGAATCATGTAGGTGCCAGAGATCGAAACTGCGTCAGCCACATGCAAGGCAAATGCCCTACCTGTTGTATTATCTCTCTGGTTCCCGAGTTCCTGTAATTTAAACAAAGGAAATGTACGGGTCTGGGAATATAGTTTCCTTTCATGTGTGAAGCTCAGCGTTTGATTACAGCACAACAAAAAATAAAATTTGCTTATAAAAGAAATTTGTGGCTGAGCATTGAGTAAGAGTGCACAAATGTTGAGCACTTCTATATATTCCTTTTTGTCTCAGAGTCTGAAAGCAAAAATTGTTTATATCTATAAGAGGATATTACTTGTGAGAGAGAGAGAGTACAAGGGTGAAGGAGCTTGCCTTTGCATGCAATTCAAATGCCCAGCATCATATATGGTCCCCTGAGTACCATAGTAGGGATCACACTTGAGGAGTCAGCGACAGACATTTGTGCATAATGGAAATGTTCCACTCTATGCTTAGTTTTTTTTCCTTTGTCTTATTTTTTGGTTTTGTTTTTTTTTTTTTGGTGCCACACCTGACTGTGCTAGGCTTACTCTTAGACGTATGCTCAGGAATCACTCCTGACAGGGCTCAGGGGACCATATGAGGTGCTGGCGATTGAACCCAGTTGGCCACATGCAAAGCAAACAGCCTACCCATTGTACTATCGCTCTGGCCCGCTATGCATCTTTTTTTTCTGGAGGATATAGAAAGATGTGGAAGCATAGAAATTCATTCCTGTTTATTCGGTTCTAGTTTTCCACATGGGTCACAAACACTCAGCCCCATTCTCTAGGAGTGCTAGTTTTCACTTCTCCTTTTATTTCTTCTCTCTCTCCTTCACAAAAACACTTCTTGTTATTAACTGTCATATACCTGGTTATTGTTCCAGGAGTCAGTGATGTTCAGTGATGTGTCCATAGGCTTCTCTCAGGAGGAGTGGGAATGTCTTAATGATGCTCAGAGAGAGTTATACAAAGATGTGATGTTGGAGAATTACAGCAACCTGGTTTCAATGGGTAAGAACCTCACTCCAAAATAACTCAGATTCTGATCTCAGGAAGTCTGCTGCAGCCTGCAGAGCTCACCTCACTTTCAGATCTCCAGTTAGGTCCCTAAATTTTACTCTCAGTGGAAAATTCCCTTGTAGTGTTAGAAAGAAGAAACTGTGTTAAGCTAGTGGGTGGTTTCAAGTCACATGCATCGGTATACCTTTCTTTGACTCTTCCTTAATAATGAAAGAATTGAATTTTGGGGCATTTTTAATCATAAACTTAACTTACTAACTTCTTTTGTGAACAGGATATTCTATTTCTAAGCCCGATGTGATCTCCTTCTTGGAGCAGGGGAAAGACCCCTGGTTGGTTGACAGAGAATTTACAGGAGACCAATTGCGAGGTAAGTGAGACCGGCACATGCCCCATTAATCAGTTGCAAGACTGTTCCTTTGATTTTCTCTCTGGGAAATTCCAGATATTAAGTCTGTGATGCAAAAACAAGCCTCTTTTTAATAAGCTTTCAAAGTACCTAACCCTTGTCCCTTTATGGAATATACTCTGCTTGATTTCTTCTTCATTTTTGTACCCACTTTCACTCTCCTCTAATGGTTCTCCTTTCTATCAACATCTCAGATCTGTTTCCTCATCTCTGTCTCCTCTTTTGTTTTTTTTTGTTTATTGGTTGGTTTTTGTTTTTGTGCCATACTCAGCAATGCTCAGGGCTTACACCTGACTCTCCTCCTAATGAATGGGGTGCCATATGGGGTACCAAGTATAGAATCGAGGTCAAACACGTATACAAGACAAACTCCTTACCCACTGTACTATCTCTCTGGTCCTGTAACCTCTTTTGTTTGTTATATTTTAAAAGTGAAAAAAGTTCCATGTCACTGGAAACAGATTTTTTTTTTTTGTACATTGCCAAAGACTTGTTTTTCACCAGGGAATTTTAATATACAGTCACTTACATATTCATTAATACAATCTTTTTTTCTTTTCTTTTTTTTTTTTTGCTGGGGGGGAATCATACCCAGTGATGCACAGGGGTTACTCCTGGCTCTGCACTCAGGAATTACGCCTGGTGGTGCTTGGGGGACTATATGGGATGCTGGGGATTGAATCCTGATTGGCTGCATGCAAGGCAAACGCCCTACCCACTGTACTATCGCTGCAGGCTCAATCATATTTTTTCTAAACATTGTCAAAAATGTACTATAGCTCCAGCCCCAATCCAATCATTTTTTGTTTTGTTTTGAGGACACATGCAGCAATAATCAACGGTTACTACTGGCTCTGCATTCAGGAATCATTCATGGCTGTGTTTAGGGACCATATGAAGTGCTGGGGATTGAACACAGGTTGACTACATGCACGACAAACACCCTACCCACAGAACTATCACTGCAGCCTCAATCATATTTTTTCGAAACATTGACAAAAATTTCTAATATGTGTGGCATGCTCCGAGGAACTAAGGGGATTAAAAAGGAAATAAGTAACTTCAATGATAAGTTGCAGGAGTACTAGAATATGAGTATAAAAATTCTGTAAAGTAGAATCACTCTAAAATTCCCCCAAACCAAAAAACAAACAAAAGAGCTTAAAATAATCATTCAGCAGAGAGGAAGGATAAGAGATAGAATAGGAGTTTGTCCATGTGGAGCACACAAGGGGAGTTTTGAATGGTCATGCCATGGACTGTAGCTATGTTGGGCATAAGCCTCTGCCTCCATTGAGAAGTCAGAGATATGGCAAAGATAAAGAGATGGAGGGGGAAAGCAGGACAGTTAATTCACTGTGAGTTTATTGAGTCCCTGTTGTAGACCCAACATAGCAGTGGATCTGAATTTCCAGAGCTTGCTTCCTGGTTTATGGAGAAAGATATAATAAATGAGTATATAATACATCAGATAATAGTAAAGTGCTAAAAAAGAAAAAAAAAACAAAGTGGTAAGGGGTGCGAGGATGTGGTTTAGTAGTAGAGCATTTGCCTTGTATCCTTAGCACTGCCAAGGAGATAAAGGAGACCAAGCATACAGTTTATTTATACTTTCTATTTTTGGGTCACACCCAGCAGTGCTCAGAGCTTGCTGCTAGCTCTGCACTCAGGAATTACTCCTGGCAGAACTCTGGAGACCAATCTAGGATTCCAGGATTGAACCTGGTGTGGCAAACTCCCTGCTACTGTACTATTGCTTCAACCTCAGTAACATCTTTCATAGACTTCATTTCAAGATTTAGCTTCTGTATGTTTTTTGGAAGAGGGGTGGGTTTTTTTGTTTTTCGTTTCGGGCCATACCTGGTGGTACTTGGTGATCACTCAGGACTCAGTGTCAGTTCTGACGGGTCATTCCCAGCAGTGCTCCCACATGCAGTGCATGTGATCCTGCCATCTGAGTTATCTCCCCGACCTCAAGATGTAGATTTATTTTCATTTTGGGGAACCTGGCAGTGCTTGGAGCTTACTCCTCGCTGTATGCTCAGGGATCACTCTTTCGGGACCATTTGGGATGCTGGGAATCAAAACCAGGTCAGCCACATATAAGGCCAGCTCCGCCTTCCTGCTGTATTCTCTCTCTGACCCCAAGTTGTGGCTTCCTTATGTAATTTTTAAAATATATGATAATATTACCTTTTATGTTGAATATTAAACTATTTATGGGCTGGAGTGATAGTACAGCAGGTAGAGTGTTTGTCTTGTACGTGGCCAACCTAGGTTTAATCCTGGGCATCGCGTTTGGTACCCCAAGCTTGCCTTCATGCAGCCCACTGGGTTTGATCCCCGGCATCCTTTATGGTTTCCTGAGTACCGCCAGGAGTAATTCCTGAGTTCAGAGCCAGGAATAATACACACACACACACACACACACACACACACACATAGTTTGTTTTTTTTTTCTCTCTGTGTGCTTTGCACCTTTGGAGTATTTTCTTATTTTTTTTTTGTTTGTTTGTTTGTTTTGGGGCCAATCCCTGTGGTGTTCAGGGTTTTTTCCTAGCTCTGCACTCAGGAATTTCTCCCCTTGATGTTGATGCTAGAGAGACCATATGGGATGCTGGGGATCAAACCCAGGTTAACTGCATGCACCCTACTCTCTATATTATCTCTCTAGCCTTGAGATGTAATTTTAAATTAAATAGGTTTACTCCATATTTGGGGTGTGTGTGTGTGTGTGTGTGTGTGTGTGTGTGTGTGTGTAGGGGTTGTTAAAACTTTACTTGGGAACTACTCCAGTCTTGGTGCTCTGGGACTGAACTGTACCAAGAATAGAACCTGGGCTTCTTGCAGTCAGTCTGATGAAAGAACTGTCTCTCCAGCCCCTACCTTTAAAATTTGTTGTTGTTGTTGTTGAGAAAAAAATAATTAAAATGTATTGAGGAAAAAAGAATTATTTCTGTGGGTTTTGTATAGGAACATAGCTGCCTTCGAATTTTGAATGTGGGGCTGGAGAGATAGTACAGTGGGTAAGGTGCTTGCCTTCATGCAGCCCAGCTGGGTTTGATCCCCAGCATCACGTATGGTTTCCTGAGCACCACTAAGAGTAACTCCTGAACATCACCAGGTATGGGAACACGGCCCCACCCCACCAAAAAAAAAAAAAAAGGGAAGTTTTTCTTTATGGTTTTTTAAAAAATTTCTAGCATTTAGTGTTTTGAGAAGTCCAAAAGCCATTCCAATCTTTTTTTCCCTCCCTTTTGGTCAGCTGTTTATTACCTTTGGAAGATGCTTCTGCTGGGTGGGGTGGTGGGTGTTGGGCCACACTTAGCAGTATTTAGGTTTACTCCTGGCTTTGCACTGAGGAATTACTCCTGGTGGTGCTCAATGGACCATATGGGATGCCGAGTATTGAACCAAGGTTATCTGCTCTTGCAAGGCAAACACCTTACCCACTGTACTATCTTTTCGGTTCCCTAATTGTAATTATTTTAAGTGGACACAGAGGATACCATGATGAACAACACTGATCAGATAGTGACTATTTTATACCTTAGTCAACGTGGTCTCTGTTACAGTTTCTCACTTTTGTTATTGAAGCTCAAAAGCAACCTTAGCCATACAGCATTTTACACAAATAAGCATTACAAATAAGTGTGATTATTACAATAAAATGTTAATGTATAAAAATTATTGTTGAGCTGTGAGCCATAGCTAGACAATCCCCAGAATTTTCCATTCGATTTACTAGTTTAATCCTCACTGCAGTCCTATTAGGTCAGAGCTGCTGATAGATAGTAAAGGGAGTGTGCCTTGTACTGGTCTCCCAAGCATTTCTATGTGTTACACCTGAGCACAGAGCCAGGAATAAGCCCTTGAGCACTGCCAGGTGTGACCCAAAGTCGACAACAAAAAAGTAGGTATGCTCATAAGATTCATCAGATGGTTTCATATGTGCATACACTATGATGTTGTGTGTGTGAGAGAGTAGAATTATCATTTAAAGAAAGATAAAGACATCTTTGTATTTTAATGTTTTAAATTTTATTTATTTATTTTTGGTTTTGGGCTTTAGCGATAGCACAGCGGTAGGGCGTTTGCCTTGCACGCAGCCAACATAGCCGACCCGAGTTCGATTCCTCCGCCCCTCTCGGAGAGCCCGGGAAGCTACCGAGAGTATTCGATATGCCAGACACAATAACAACAAAGTCTCCAATGGAGACGTTACTGGGCCCGCTCGAGCAAATCGATGATCAACGGGAGGGCCTTGGTTTTGAGGCCACACCCAGCAATATTTAGGAGTTATTCATGGCTGTGCACTCAGGAATTACTCCTGGTAGTGCTCAGAGAGCCATATGGGGTGCCTGGGATTGAGCCTGAGTTGACCATGTGCAAGATAAATGCCTTACTTGCTGTACTATCTCTCTAGCCCATCTCTGTTTTTTTTTTCTAAGGTTCCCAATAAATAAGTCTGCAGTGTTTGGAAAAGAGTGATTTACTTGGGTTCCCTAATCACTGCCCTCGTCTCCTGCCCTTCCCCCAGTTTATTAATTAATTTTTAAATTTTTATTGAATCACCATGAGATAGAGTTATAAAGCTGTTCATGTTGGATTTCAGTCATACAGTGTTCCAATACCCGTCCCTCTACCAGCCACATTTCCCACAACCAGTGTCCCTAGGTTCCCTCCCACCACCCTTCCCAGCCTGTCTCTATGGTAGACTTAGGCTTGCTCTTGCTCTCGCGTGCTCTCTCTTCTCTCTGTGTGTCTGTCTCTGTCTCTCTCTGTGTCTCTGCCTCTCTTTCTCCCTCCACTTCCCTTTCTTCCCTTCCTTTTGGTTATTATGGTTTGCACACGTTATTTAAACACCATGCTTTCCAAAGGTGTTTATGATGACTTGTTACAGGCATTTAATATTCAAACACCAATCCCACCATGCTCTCACCTTACCTCCACCATTGTCTTCCCTTTCCTGACCACCCCTCAAGCAATCCCCCATAGCAGGCCCGCAATAATTTATTTTATATTGCTTGTCACCCATAAATGGCTAACAGGATGATCAAAAAATACTTCCTTAGAAGGAAATTAGTGAAAATTGTTGTATATTAAGTCCTTGTCTGAGGGATTACTAAAATGTTACAAGTTAAGCTTCTCTGTTAATGTTTTTGTTAGTGGAGATGAGTTGCTTTCTACATTACATTTCGTCCAATCTCCTGTGCTACTACTGGATTGTGTCAGAGGCTTTGGAGATATAGCATGACTACCCAGAAAATCTGCAGTTGTTAACTGGTCAGTCTAGCTGGAGTTCAGTTTTTTATTGCTGAGTTTACATGGCAGGATGGAGCAATAGCACAGCGGGTAGGGCGTTTGCCTTGCACGCAGCCAATCCAGGTTTGATTCCTCCATCCCTCTTGGAGAGCCCAGCAAGCTACCAAGAGTATCTCGCCCACATGGCAAAGCCTGGCAAAGTACCCATAATGTATTTGATATGTCAAAAATAGTAACAACAAGTCTCACAATTTGTTAAGAGACATTACTGGTGCCCGCTCAAGCAAATCGATGAACAATGGGAGGACAGTGCTACAGCGCTACATGGCAGCAGAGGTGCTTACTGAGTCACCTCCCATCTCTTTTTGTCTCTTTTTTTAACTGAGTCACCTCCTGTCTCTTTTTGTCTTCCTTTTGAATGTAAGGAATGTGGAAAAACCTTTATTTGTTTTTCCACATTAACATATTAACTGGTTTTGCTTCTATCATGGAAAAAGAAAATGTGAGTGATTGCTTTCATATTTTCTTTCAGTCCTAGAGTCAAGATGTGACACCAAGAACTTACTTCTGAAGAAGGAAGTTTATGAAATAGAATCAGCCCAGTGGGAGATCATGGGACGACTTAGCAGACGTGACTTTCCATGCCATGCTTTCAGAGATAAGTGGGAATGTAATGACCAGTTTGGAAAACAACATGTTGCTCAGCAGGGACATTTCCATCAACTGACATTCCCTCATGAAGGCAAGCCCACATTCAGTCGGCCTCCATCCTACACATTACAGCAAATCACTAATAATAAAGAGAAATATTGTACAAGTAAGGAATATAGGAAGAACTTTCGGCATGACTCACAGCTGACTGCCCACCAGATCAGTCACAGCACCGAGAAGCCCTATGAATGTAAGGAATGTGGAAAGGCCTTTAGACATCCCTCAAGACTCAGTCATCATCAGAAAATTCACACTGGCAAAAAACCTTTTGAATGTAAGGAATGTGGAAAAACCTTTATTTGTGGCTCAGATCTCATGCGACATCACAGAATTCACACTGGCGAGAAACCCTATGAATGTAAGGAATGTGGAAAGGCCTTTAGTAGTGGTTCAAACTTTACTCGACATCAGAGAATTCACACTGGCGAGAAACCGTATGAATGTAAGGAATGTGGGAAGGCCTTTAGTAGTGGATCAAACTTTACTCAACATCAAAGAATCCATACTGGGGAGAAACCTTATGAATGCAAGGAATGTGGCAATGCCTTCAGTCAGAGTTCACAGCTAATTAAACATCAGAGAATCCACACAGGTGAGAAGCCCTATGAATGTAAGGAGTGTGAAAAGGCTTTTCGGTCTGGTTCAGACCTTACTCGACATCAGCGAATTCATACTGGTGAGAAACCCTATGAATGTAAAATCTGTGGGAAAGCCTATTCTCAGAGCTCACAACTTATTAGTCACCATAGAATTCATGCAGTTGAGAAACACTATGAATATAAGGAATGTGGAAAAACCTTTACTTATGGCTCACAACTTATTCAGCATCAAAATCTATATTGGTAATAAAGCATAGAATGTATGAAATGTATGGAAAGGCTTTTAATGATGGTGTAAAACAAACACTAGAGATTGAATCTTGATTCTTTTTTTTTTTAAGTCAAAACTCAGCTGTATCAGGGTTAAGACTACTCCCTGCTTGGGGTAGTAGCGAGTCACTTAGTGACACTTAGGGAGTCTCTTTTAGTGGTATCAGGGTCAATCATAGGGCTTTGCATGCAAAGCATGTATTCTAGCCCTTTGAGCCATTTCCCTGTCCAGAGACTTCATCTTGATAATAATTCCTCTAACTAGAATAATGTGAGAGTATCATCTTCCTGAGTATAGATTTATCAACTTGAAAAAAATTGGTAGAAAAATTCTGTAAGTAGAAAATATTGAGTTTGAGGGGCAGGGAGGGAAATAGTTTAAGTTAGGGAATATGAGGCTAGAGAAAGGGTGGGAAGGAAAGAGGGAGAGTGCCTGAAAATGAGGTCTTTAGAGCCAGAGTGATAGTATAGCAGGAAAGGCATTTGCCTTGCACGCAACCATCCTGGGTTTCCCAGCACCTCATATAGTCCCTCAAGTACTACCAGGAGTGATCCCTGAGTGCAAAGCCAGGAATAAAGATCTAAGCACAGTGGGGTATGGCACAAAAGCAATTTTAAAAAGAAAAGAAAATGAAATCTTCTCAGAGGTTAGAGAGCTCTAATGAAGTAAATGAATTACTTCTTGACCTCTAACAGGGGATATGTGACTGGAATGCATTGCTTGGGGGAGTAGTAAGCCACACGTGGGTGCTGACTACTGGCTTTCTGCTCAGGGATCACTCATAGCTGGGATGGGAGACCTTATGGGTTGCCAGGGCCCCAAAATGCTGATTCCATAGGTTAGCCAAACTCAAGGCTGTACTGTCTATTCAGCCCCCTATAATACATTGTAAAGCTCTTTAAAAAAACCCTACTTTTCAACATCAGATCATTCAATTTTCAGTCTAGCAAATATTGGAAATGAAGCACGTCAGCAGTTTTCTAAACTTACCTTAAACATCAGGTAAGTTTCAAAACTTATCAGACTTTTTTAAAAACTTATCTTAAACATTCATGGAGGAATGTATCCCTATGGTTTTAATTTTTCTTCAATACTTGAAAGTTAGGACTTCTTTACTTTGGAAGATGCTTAGTTTTGCTATTTACAAAATTTGGGCTTTTTTTTTTTTCTGGTCACACTCAGTGGTGATCAGGATTTACTACTGGCTCTGCTCTCAGGGATCACTCCTGGTGGGACATGGGGGAGACTAGGGAGTACCGGGGATACAACCTAGGACAGCTGCGTGCAAGACAAGGACATTACCCACTATACTATTGCTCCAGCCCCTAGGCTTATTTTAATCATTAACATGTTTTTGGTTCTGGTTTTTGGGTTTATTCCTGGTTTTTGTGCTCAGAGATAACTCCTGGCTGTGCTTGGGGAACTATATGGGTTGCCATAGATTGAACCCTAGTACTAGTCTCTCCAGCTCTCATTCTTCCTAAGCATCTCTTTGTATTATCTGTTAGTTGCAGGAATAGTGCCTGAATATATTCTTTCAAATATTTCAGGCTGAAGACATTAAGTAAAGGGGTAAAAATGCTTTCCTTTGGGGCCAGAGTGATACAGCAATATCTGGGTACAGTGGGTAGGATGTTTGTATGTGGCCAGTCTGGGTTGGATCCCTAGCATCCCATATGGTCCACTGCCAGGAGTAATTCCTGAGTGCAGGTCCAGGAGTAACCCTTGAGCATCACCATTATAACGCAAAAAGCCCCCCCGAAAAAAAAAAGATGCTTGCCATGTATGTATGTGACTGGTCCAGTTCAATCGCTGGCACCATATGGCTGGTCACCTGAGTACTACCAGATTCTGCCCTCTAACACCACCTGTGTCCCTAAGTGTAAACATAAGGCAAAGGCAAAGATACTCTTTAACCAACATCCTTATGCTCATTTTCCTTCTCCAAGGAGAGTCATCTGATTAGCTTTCCTGATTTTTTTTTGTTTTTATGTCACCTATGTCATATAAATTAATTGGGAATGATTATGATATCTACCTCAAAACTTTTTTATGAAAAGACAATGTTTAGAATTGTTCCCTGTTATAATAGATACCAAATGTTGCTCATCTTTATATTCAGTACCTCCAGTATTTATTGAAATTCATTTGTTTCTGAAACTCTTAACATCACACAGGATATCTAATTGATATGCCCTGTTCACATCAGCAAATTATAAAAAATTCATCACTTCCATGAAACACAGAGTAATCCTGAGTGGTGATCTAGAAGTGAAATCTATGAACAATTTTATTCAAACTGGCAATTTCTTTTTGTTATAAAGAGAAAGTTATGTGCAAAAGATTAGTGATGCTGATGAAGAGAAAGTAACATGTTCAAAAGTGTATATACGTATATGAGAATTTACAGTAACAGTTGAAATATAAATACAAGTATTTCTGATTCATTTGAAAATTAAGAAAAGGGGCTGGAGCAATAGTACAGTGGGTAGGGTGCTTGCCTTGCACGCGACCAACCCAGTTTCTATCCCCAGCATCCCATTTGGTCCTTGAGCATCACCAGCAGTGATTCCTGAGTACAGAACCAGAAGTAGCCTCTGAGCATTGCTGTGTGTGACCCAAAAGAGAAAAAAAATTTTTTTTAAATATTCATTAAAATTTGGGGCCTTCTGTGCGCAATCCGATCCCTGGGTGGTTGGTGGAAGCAGACAGGGCAGGGTAGGGTGAGGCTCCTGATTAGAATCCCTTTGTCACCTGTGGTTGGTGGGAGCAAGCAGAGAATCTCTGTCCCTGGGTCCGCCGAGCCTGGAGTCCAAGGTCTCAGAGAGTTCCGCTTATCTTGTTCTGTGGGTCTTCAGTGGTGCGTGAGTCTCGGCCGGGGCTGCCACGTGGGTCCGGAAAGCATCCAGGAGTGTGGCGGCGGCTGGGTAGTGGAGGTAGTGTCGATTAAGTTAAGTTAAAATTTAAGTTAAGTTAAAATTTGGGGCTGGAGCCATAGCCCAGCGGGTAGGGCATTTGCCTTGCACATGGCCCACCTGGGTTCGATTCCCAGCATCCCATATGGTCCCCCGAGCTCTGCCAAGAGTAATTCCTGAGTGTATGAGCCAGGAGTAACCCCTGTGCATTGCCACGTGTGACCCAAAAAGCAAAATAAAATAATTTAGTAAAATTTGTATCAGTGGGGTTGGAGAGCTAGTGTAGTAAGGCAATTGCCTTGCATGTGATTGACCCTGTATTGATCCTTGGCACTGCATATGTTCCTTGTGCCACTCAAGGAGTGATCTGAACACAGCTAGGAGTAAAGCCTAAGCACGTCTGAGTGTGACTGCTCCAAAAAAATTTAAATCACCAATAGACTCAGAATCAGAGCTCTTCAGTCTAACAGAATAGTGAAGCAGGGGTCGGAGAGATAGTACAGTAGGTAAGATGCCTACCTTGCGTGCAGCCAACCTGGCTTCGATCCCCAGCATCCATAATGGTATAGCAAGCACTGCAAGGAGTAATTTCTAAGTGCAGAGCCAGGAGTAACCCCTGAGCACTGCTGGGTGTGGCCCAAAAAATCAAAACAAAAAAATAGGAAAGGGGCTGGAGTGTTAGTATAGCGGATAGAGTGCTTGACTTACACACCAATTTCTGTCGTCATACTGGTCTCTTTTATATCCTAGCTGCCCTCTGCCCTTTTTTATATTTTTAATCTGGCCTGGGGAGGGGGGGGAGAGAGAGAGAGAGAGAGAGAGAGAGAGAGAGAGAGAGAGAATACACCCTATCATTTCAAGTGATTTTATTGTGATTCTAAGCTAGTGCAAATAAATGTTAGTATTTGTAGGGGCTGGAGCCATAGCACAGCGGGTAGAGCTTTTGCCTTGCACGTGGCCGACCCGCTCTGGGAGAGCCTGGCAAACTACCAGAGTATCCCGCCCGCACCGCAGAGCCTGGCAAGGGCTCCTACTAAGATGAAAGGTAAGACTACAACTGTAAAACATTTTAATGAGTAATGTCAGCTTGAGTATTACACAAGTTTTTTGTCCTTTTAGAAAGGGGGAAAAATCCATTCTACATCTTTAGGTAAAGATGTTTCTTCTGGGTGGAGTCCTTCTAAAATCTTGGCTTTTCGGGGCAGAAACCCATAGGCTGCAGCACGGCACGACTTTTCTTGGAAAAAATCTTTAAAAGTTGCTGCTTATTTAATTTCCTCTCTTTTAGAAGCCTGGGATGAAACGTCAAATGAAAAAATATTCCAGAAAAAAATCCGTTTGGTTACTCGCCTGTACTCCTCCCCCCTCCCCCCCCCCCCCCACACACACACACACGCACAAACTTTCAGGAGAGCTGGTGCCTCCTTGAGGATGGCAACGACTCACTTTCCTGTCCAAGCAGGAGCAGAGGGAGCCAGGCCACCCCATTGCCTCCAGACAGTCACCTCATTCTCGGCCCGCGGGGGGAAAAAAAAATGTCGAGCCCAACACACACAGGGGCGGCCCATGGAAAAGCAAGGGAGTGAGAGAACCGCACGATTACATTCTCACGCGCTCACAGCCCACTCTGTGCTCTTTCAGGCACCGACAGCATCGCATGCCCTTCACTGTGCCAGTCGTTTGTCCCCCCATAGGTCCGGGTCCTGCTGCGACTTTCTCTCAATAAGGCCATTGGTCCGCGGACCCTCAGCCGCGGCTGAACCGCACGTATCTCTGGCTCCCACGGCGACCCCGCCCCCACGGCGACCCCGCCCGCGGTTTACCGCGCCTGCGCATTCGTTGCGGGCCGGCGGCGCTCCCAGCAGCCCCCGGGAGGGTCCGTTAGGTCTCGGGGCCGCGGACTGTGGGCGGCCGCCACGCCCTCGTGTTCGCTGCGCCCCGCCGTGACGCGCGCTCGGCGCCCCAGGTGAGCCGCCGTGGCTCGGAGCCTTGGTTCCAGCCATCTGCCAGAAAGGCGCTGCTGCCCGGGGCTGAGGAGAGGACGGGCAGGCCTGGTGGCTCCGCGGAGCGTCAGAAACGCCGCGGCCCGGGCCCTGGAGCGCGTGAGAACGGCGGCGCGGCCGCTCGCGTGTGTTCTGTGGGCGTGACGCGCCGGGCGGTGGCCTTGGGGCCGCGCGCGGTGGTGAGGCCGTCCGGGATCCTCCTTTTGTGGGTGAATGGGGGACGGCGCGACCCCGACCCTAGCGTCTTTATCGCGTCTTCTGCCTTCCGGCCTCACGTGCGACCCCTAGGAGAAAGGACCACCCCGACCCCCGTCACCTCAGACGGCCCCTCCTGAGCGCTGGGAAAGACTCCCCCACCATAAAAGACTCAGACTCGATTTGGGGTGGCTGGAATATTAAAGTGAGGGGCGGGAGTGTCGCTCAGGGGTAGAGCACGGCCTTTCGTATCCCGATTAAGCCCCCCCACCCTCACCCCCCAGGGCATCTCCAGCGCAGCAAAGAAAGAAAAAAAGAACCGCCAGAAGGAAACTTGGGGACCAGGCAGGCTTTGGAGCAGTGCTACCCCACCCCACCCCACCCTCACTCCCACTCAGACACAGCCTAGGGGTCCAGATGCCCGCTTCAGAACCGGGATTCCCATTCTTGAAAATGTCTGGTCCAGTGATTTAGAGACCAGGACCCCCCCACCCCCTCTCCGCACTCGGGCCCCTAGACGTAGCCCGGACAGGTGCTGCACTAGATCTGTGCGTGCTTATAATTATAACGGTCAGCGACGTTCTGACGGCGGTGCGTGATCTCTCCCAAGTTCTTACACCTTACAGCCGCCCACCCATCTGAAAACGGAAAAGTTAATATATCGAAGAAATTGTGATGAGATGAGTAGTTCCTAGTTTAAAAATAAAAAGCCAGGTCCTCAAATGGCCAGGAAACACATCTCCTTTGGTCCCTCTCCGTGTTCCTTCCCTTTTGGAGAGGGCCAGGGAATGGAATCCAGGCTTGCAAGATGTGTGCTATGCTGAGCCACATCCTTGGCCCTATTTCTTTTAGTTTGGGGCTTGGTCACATGCTGTGGTGGTTGGGGATCACTCCTGGAGGGGCACGAATGACCATATGGATGTGGAGGTTGGAGCCAAGGTCACACACGAGCAAGGCCAACACTACCTACTATACTGTAGCTCCAGCCTCTTTTTTTTTTTTTTTTTTGTACTGGTAACATTGGTGTAGAAGATTGTAACTGTTTTAGAAGCACAATGCTACCAAACCACACCTACAGCTAAAGTGCCTCCTTTTTCAGTTCAGTAGTGAAAGGAGTGTTTTCTCTGTATATTGCTTTTTCCCCATAGCGTCTATTTATGCCATACATGAGTGTGATCATCCAGTATTTGTTTTTCTTCTTCCCTTTAGTCCTAGATATATTGCAACAGATGCCAAGATTGTTGCCAAGAAATGCCATCATTTCCATAGCTGAGTAGTTGTTTTGTGTATATAAACCGCATCTTTAGCCACTCATCTACCTTTAGGCACTTTCGAGCTAAGTGCTGAGAGGATCTTTGATGCACAGAAGTCTTTTTTAATTAGTGTTTTTGTGTTCTTTGGATATGTTCCTAGAAGTGGAATTGCTTGAAGTTAGAGAGATAGCATTGAGGGTTAAGGTACTTGCCTTGCATCCCTAGAGTATTTCCTGTTGTGATCCCTGAGCACAGAGCCAGGAGTAAGCCCAGAGCACAACTGGGTGTGGATCAACACAATCCCCACCTCACAATACACACAAAAGTAAGATAAAACTGAAGAGAAAGAAGTGGAATTGCTGCATATAAGGCTATTCTATTGGGGGGAAGGGCGGGGCAGTGCTCAGGGCTTGCTTCTGACTCTGTGCTCATGATCACTGCTGATTTACTCAGGGGACTTCATGGAGTTCCAGGTAGCAAACTGGCGTCTCCTACTGTAAGGCAAAGCTCCTTAGCCTTTTTGTTTTCCTTTTTGGGTCACACCCAGCAATCCTCAGGGGTTACTCCTGTCTCTACACTCAGGAATAACACCTGGTGGTGCTTGGGGGATGACATGGGATACTGGAGTTTGAGCTCAGGTTGGCCATATGTGCAAGGCAAACGCCCTATCTACTATACTACGACTCTGGCCACTCCTTAGCCTTCTGTACTGTCTCAATCTTGGTAGTTATGTTTTGTTTTGTGGGGATTTTTTTTGGAGGGGTCACATTCAGTGGTGCTTAGGACTTAATTCTGGCTCTGTGCTCAGGGATCATTCCTGGTTTGCTCACAGACCATATGGAATGCTGGGGATCAAATCCAGGTTCGTTGCATGCAAGGCAAGCATCTTACCTATTGCTCCAGCTCCTTAGATGTGTTTTTATGTCACTACTTGTTATTTATGGTCTTTGTGATGTGAGCTTATATGTTACCTTATTGTTTTTTTGATTTGCATTTTCCTGATAACAAGTGATAATAAACAATTTTTTATGTGTCTTTGGCCCTCTTTGTCTTTGTTAAAGTGTTTTTAGCTTTTGTCCCTTTTTTTTTTCTTTTTGGCTTTTTGGGTCACACCTGGCGATGCACAAGGGTTTCTCCTGGCTCTGCACTCAGGAATTACCCCTGGCAGTGCTCAGGGGACCATATGGGATGCTGGGAATCGAACCCAGGTTGGCTGTGTGCAAGGCAAAACTCCCTACCCGCTGTGCTATTGCTACAGCCCTTTTTGTCCCATTTTTGATAGGGTTTTTTATTTTTTTTGTTTTTGTTAACTCTTGTGATATGTGATATAATATCTCATGTTAGCACTTTGTCATATGTGTAGTATGTTGATATTTTGTCCTATTCTTTAGGATTTTTTAAAAATGTATTTGTTTTCTTTGGTGTTTTGGGTCACACCGAATGATGGAAAGCAAGAGGGGCCTACTTGACTTTTGTCTTTTTTTCATTTTTGCTAATATTGTTAATTAAGATGAATTAATTTGTAAGAAAAATACATCAATCTTAGTTTTAAAATGTATTTGTGTTGTAAGAAGAATCATTTTAGAAAATCTCAGCAAGTTTAATATAAGAAGAATGAAAATGCCATCATAGTGTTTGAGATTGGGGTGAACCACACTCAGGCTGCCCAGAGGCTATGTAGTCCTGGCTCTGATATTAGGGACCACTCATGGAGGTTCTCAGGTGACTATATGTTATCTCGAAAGATGAGATATATTTTCTTTTAGTGATTTGATGATGATGATGATAATGATGATGATGATGATGATGATGATTTTTATCACTCCTAGTGGGCTTGGGAAAACCATATGATGTGCCAGGAATTGAACCTGGGCTGGAATTGTGCAAAGCAGGTGCCTTACCCCCTTGTACTATGTCTCTGCCCTATGTTATTTTTATTTTTTGGTGAATCATGAATGCTCATAGTTCTGTCATTGGAACATGAAGTTGTGGATTTCAGAGGCAAATGCTAGAATTGAATGCGACCTTTGTTTAAGAAAAACAAGATTTTAAAAAATTGAACTGGGTTTCAGCAAGTGATTTTACTCCTCTTGCTGAGAAAGTTCTGCATCCTTAGTTAACATATAAATAAAACATGAACGTTCTTTATAGAATTGTATTATTGTCTGTTTGCTCAGGGCTTTTCAGCCTAGGTTAAGAGAATGGCAAATGAAGTCATAGAGAAAGTAAGGCAGGTGAGTTTCTTTTTTAGAGAGTGTAATGCGTAGGGCACTTGCCTTGCACATAGGCTGAATTGGGCTTGATCCCTGGCATCCCATATGGTCCCCCATGCACTGCCAGGAATAATTCCTGTATGGCATCACCAAGTATGGCCAAGAATTAGAAAGGAAAAGAAAAGAAAAAGACTTCCCAAAAAGAAAGGGGAGGTAAGAAGGCAGAAAGATAGTACAGTGGGCGGGTAGAGCTCTTGCCTTGCAGGAGGCTGACCTGGGTTCAATCCCTGATATGTTATATGGTTGTCCCACAGCACCACCAGGAGTAATTCCTTAGTGCAGAGCAATGAGTAACCCCTGAGCATCACAAGGTATAGCCCCCCCCCAAAAGGTTGTTCTTGTGTTGTTGTTGTTGTTGTTGTTGTTGTTGTTATTGTTTTAACTTTCCAAGCAGTATTCTTGGGGCCAATGTATATATAGTGTCAGCTAAGCTGGATGCTTTCTTGCTGGGGTCTGGAGAGGCTCTGAGGTCCACAGGGCCACCAGGCTACAGTGACTGTACCCAGTGGTACTGGGTGGGGAGGGGTCATGCCATATCAAGGATGGAATTTTGGTCAATCCCCTGAGCTAACTTATTAATAGCAGTGATGAAACTAGGTTTTTGTCCAGGGTATCTAGCTACATTGCAGCATTTCACAGTGGTAATGACTATCAGAGTTAATCCTGATGAATTTCTCTTTTGGAGCCTGGTGAATCCATGTGAAAAAGGTTTGAAGGAGAGTCTGGTTTAGAGGATGTGGCCACTTAACTGCTCTAGAATTTAGGAGTTGAGACTAGTTGTTTTTTGTTTGTTTGTTTGGCTTTTTAGGTCATACCCGGCGATGGTCAAGGGTTATTCCTGGCTCTGCCTTCAGGGGACCACATGGGTTGCAGGAGGATTAAACCTGGGTTGGCAGTGTGCAAGGCAAATGCCATACCCCTGTACTGTTGCTCTGGCCCCTAGATTTTTTTTTTTCAGACTAATTCTCCCTGAGTCTGAAAGGAAGGAGAACAGAGAGCGACACGAAATGGGATCGGGAGAGGAGAGAAGGAGATGCAGGTTGGGAGTGGGAGCAGCAGAAGCAGAGTCACTTCTAGGAATTATGCAACCCTGTCTGACCTCACGGCCTCCATTTCTCCCCGCTAGCCCTGTGAACTCTGCCTCTCCAGTCAAGTAAACTCCAGGCACAGCTGACCAGTTCTTGAATTTTAAACCATGGCCCACGTAAGTTACTCTTTCTCCTTCTGGACTATTTCTGTGTTAAGTAAGGCCCTGTGAGTATTTTATTCTGAAATTTCTTTCTTGCCAAAGGCCCATCCAAGAACCTTTTTCCAGTTCCTCCAAATCCAACTGAGATTAAAGTAGTGCTTTTCCCCCAATTACTTCGTATGTGTAAATTGAATAAAATATTCACTATTTTCTATGCATGTTTATTGTTCTAAGAACTGCAGTGGCACAGAAATAAATTGGTAGATAAATATGTTTGACCATTTCTTGTGATTTGATTTATGAAAACTTTGAACCTTGACAGTTCAGTAGTAGACCACAAATATTTACCTATGGAGGAATAATTAAGTCTCATATATCCATTATAAAGACTAATATTCAACCAGTTTTTTAAGTTCACTAGAGAATCTGTTATACCTGGAAAAATGTTTTTGTTATGATCTGGTTCAGTGATGAACTTAGAAAAAAAATTCATTAATTTTATTTAGGTTAATTTTTTCCTTTTTTTTGCCACTCCCAGTGGTGCTCAGGGCTTACTCCTGGCTCTGTGCTAGGGATCACTCCTGGTGGGGCTCAAGGGACCATATGAGGTGCTAGGGATTGAATTGGTTTGGGTGCATGCAAGACAAGCACCTTACCCACTGTACTATCTCTCTAGCCCTGTCAGATCCATTTCTAACAATGTTTTAGAAGAAAAGTGTTTGAATTTTTAAAAAATTATTTCTTGGGGCTGGAGAGATAGCACAGCGGGTAAGGCGTTTACCTTGCACACGGCTGACCCAGGTTCGATTCCCAGCATCCCATATGGTCCCTGAGCACCAACAGGAGTAACTCCTGAGTGCAGATCCAGGAGTAACCCCTGTACATCGCTGGGTGTGACCCAAAGAAAGCAAAAATAAATTACTTAAAGGACTAGCATAGAAAACAGACATTAAATCCATATTGCATACCATAACACCCAAAAGGAGAGAGAGAGTAAAAGGGAATGTGCCTGCCACAGAGGCAGGGGAGGGGGCGGGAGGAATACTGGGAACATTGGTGGTGGAGAATGGGCACTGATGGAGGAATGGGTACTTGATCATTGTATGACTAAAACGTAATCACAGAATTTGTAAGCCTGTAATTACCTTATGGTAATTCATTTAATAATAAAAATTAAGGGGCTGGAGCGATAGCACAGCAGGTAGGGTTTTTGCCTTGCATGCAGCCAACATGGCTGACCCGGGTTCAATTCCCAGCATCCCATATGGTCCCTCGAGCACTGCCAGGAGTAATTCTTGAGTGTATGAGCCAGGAGTAACCCCTGAGCATCGCCGGGTGTGACCCAAAAAGCAAAAAATAAATAAATAAATGAAAATTAAAAAAAGAAAGAAAACAGACATTAAAACATGTACTTTTTAAGAGGTAAAGAAATTTTAAAAAGAAAGAAATTACTTTGCTTGTTTAAAAAAATCCGAAAGCTGGCATTATTCAGAAAAATTTAGGTTTGTTTATAATTGTTATCTAGTTGAACTGCTAAAACTTATTCACTGAAACATTTTAATTTGCACTAATGTTTGATGTTCCCAAATTATATTAAAAATTCATGCACAAATGATAGAAAAACTGCCAGTGCCTGATTTCTGTCCTGTATTTTTCCATTTGCAATCAGATTCTTTTTTTCTCTTTTTTTAAATGTAGGAGTGCTGCTATTTATTCAGCCACTGATTAGCTGATTGAATTGTGCATGAACTCCACCTTACTTTTTTTTTTTCATTTTTTATAATTTTATTTATTGACTCACCGTGAGAGCAGTTACAAAGATTTCAGGTCTAAGTCTTGGTCATACAATGAAACACTCATACCTTCACGAGTGCCCATTCTCCACCACCAAAAACCGCAGTATACCCCCATCACACACCCTCCCCCTACCTGTGGGGCAGATGATTTCCACATTATTCTCTCTCTACTTTGATCACATTCAATATTTCGTCACCAGACCCACCATTATTATTTGAGATTTTACCCCAACACTCAGGTCTGCTGAAAAGGCAACAGTAGACAATTTGTGTTCTATTGCTGGTTATGAATAACATATGATGTCGCATGGCTGCAGTAGGGCCATGTGATTTTGAAATTCCGAAATTTTCACACTTAAATCTGGAGGGATTTCTGCCAAAAGCCACTGGGTTTCGAGATTTGCTCCTGAGTCTCTGGGATCATGGCCATTGAGCAGCTTGATCAGGAGCCAGAGAGGCCGTTCGTGGGTGATGACTTGGGGTCTGGTTGGGACGGGGAGACCAGGACTGGGTCCACCCCCATCCTGTGAGGCCCAACAAGTTTCATCACTGCGGGCCCAAGCCTGACTGTCCAATGGCCTCTGGAGGATGACAGCCACTGAGCCACCAAGGGGGAGGAGGCTGAGGAACAACAACCTTTCCTCCCTGGGCTGGCCTGGTGACACTAATGTACTATGGGGTCCGGACGCATTTCTACCAAAAGCCACTGGGTTTCGAGATTTGTTTCTGAGTCTCTGGGATCATGGCCGTTAATCAGCTTGATCAGGAGCCAGAGAGGCCGTTCGTGGGCGATGACTTGGGGTCTCATTGTGGTGGGGAGGACAGACCCGGCTCCCCCCCCCATCCCGTGAGGCCCTGTGTGTCTCATCACTGGGGGCCCAAACCTGACTGTCCAGTGGCTTCTGAAGGATGGCGGCCACCGGGCCGCCCAGAGAACAGGCCAAGGTATGAAACCTATTCCCACCTGGGTTGGCCCAGCACCGGTAACCTACTACAGGGACTGGATGCATTTCTGCCAAAAGCCGCTGGGTTTCGAGATTTGTTGCTGAGTCTCTGGGATCATGGTCATTAAGCAGTTCAATTAGGAACCAGAGAGGCCATGCCTCCAATTATATAGCTGAGCCAGAGGTGGTTTGTGGGTGTGTTTCCCACATACCTAACTTTTGGCCATTTACTTTCTTGATAAACTTTGCCCCAAGTTTTTGGGTCTGGCCAAAGACACAGCAGCAATTTTGGGGTATCTGGAAGTCTGAAGGCACCATGAGGCTGCTGATGCACTTGCCTCACAGGTACAGATTGACCTGCTGGCGGCACCATACCCCTTGCAATCAGATTCTTAAGTATCTTTGACCCCATGGGGATAAAAACAACATTAGAACAACCAATAACAGAAAGAATAGGGGAAAATAAATTTTTTAGAATTAAATGTTTTCCATCATAGTGGATTGGGGGGGAGCGATGGGAGGCAGCCACAGAGCTACTCCTGGCTTTACACAGAAGAATTACTCCTGGCAGTGCTCAGTGGGCCTTATGGGGTGCTAAGGATTGAATCTGGGTTGGCCTCATGCAAGGCAAATGCCCTCCCCACTGTATTATCTCTCTGGGCCTCATCCTATATGCTTCAGCAGGTCTCCACATATGCGGCCTGCTAGTTGGATATCTTTTGGCACAACTGTTACATGTTTAACGTGGATAGCACTCCATTGGTATCTTTATTTATTTTATTTTATTTATTTATTTTTGCTTTTTGGGTCACACCTGGCAATGCACAGGGGTTACTCCTGGCTCTGTACTCAGGAGTTACTCCTGGCGGTGCTCAGGGGACTATATGGGATGCTGGGAATCGAACCCGGGTTGGCCGCATGTAAGGCAAATGCCTTACCCACTGTGCTATCTCTCCAGCCCCATCCATTGGTATCTTTAGAAAGGCCAACCAGATAAGTCTCACTGCCTCCTGCAAAGCACCAGTAGTTGTATTCTAGAAGTTCCCTCCAGAATCTGTGTTGAAGTCCTGAACAATTTCTCATACCAGATGCTGAAAGGGAACCTGTTTGTGACTCAGAAGTTCAGTGGACTTCTGATAATGCCAAATTTCAGAGTGCTTCAGTACCTGGTCTGTAACGGTGAGGGTTCTTACCCCCTCCAGCAGAGGGTGCACTCTCTGAGTGGCCTTTGTAGCCAGTTGTTTCCTTGATGCTTCACCAAGGATCTATTTGCAGAGAATGGGCTTTGTAGAGAGACCTTCTTTCTTACCCACTTCTCTTTTGCTAGAGCTAGGTGAGCTAGAGGCTAGTGTTGGGGTCAAAGTCATCCTCGGTCAGCCACGATCAGAGCAAGTTCCCTGTCCTCTGTACTCTCCAGTTCCAGTGGCACACAAATTCACACAGCATGTTAGAGGCTTCTAGTCCATGCCTGTTCACTTGATAAATGGTCCATTTCTGCAGTGTCTCTTCCATCTTTTCTCCTTCAGTTATAACACGATTTCTTTGATCTCAATTGTAGTATCTGGCTTGTCATTTCAGGGGTCTGTGTTATTCAGTGATGTGTCCATACTCTTCTCCCAGGAAGAATGGGAATCTCTGGACTTGGTACAGAGGGACCTGTATAGAGATGTAATGTTGGAGAACTACAGCAACTTGGTTTCACTGGGTAAGTTTCTACCTTGAGTAATTTAAACTGTCCTCTCTGCAGTATTAGCTTTCTTCGTTGGAAATTTCAGCAATATCTCTTTTTAAAAAACTGGATTCCTGCTCCCTATTTAAGGAATGGTTTGCACTTCATTCATATATATTAGGCATTTGCATTTTCACCCATCCTTAATTTAGTACCCTTTAGACTCTTTTCTTTTTTTGTTTTTGTTTTTATTGTTTTTCATTTCTGGGCCACCACCCCTGAGTGGTGTTCAGGGGTTATTCCTGTCTCTGATGCTCAGGAATCACTACTGGCAGGACTTGAGGGATTATGTAAGGTGCCAGGGATTGAACCCTGGTTGGCTCTATGCAAGGCAGGAGAGCCTTACCCACTGTACCATCCCTCTAGAAGCATTTCTCTTTTCTTTTGTGGGGACTGGGTTTGGTTTTGGGGCCACGCACCTGGTGATGTTCAAGGTTTACTTCTGGTTTTGCACTCAGGGATCACTCCTGGCTCTCTCAGGGGACCATATGGGATGCCAAGATCGATCACATACAAGGCAAATTCCCCACCCACCATACTGTCTCTCCAGCCCCTTTATAGCCTTTATTAATCATGAAAGGACTAGATTTGATATCATGGTGATTACCAGTGTCACTCATTTAATTTTTTGTTTAAATTCAGAAGTGCTGGGTTAGAGACAATACAGGGATAAACTCAGAAGTGCTGTAGGTGTTTGTTAAGATGTATTGATACATTCAAAATTTTTTGAATGGGGGTGGGGGTGACAAGTGGTTTTTGCCACATCTAGTGTGGGTCAGGGTTTATTCCTGGCTCTGTACTTGGGCATCCATCCTGGCAGTGATTGGTGAACCATATAATGTGGTATGGATTGAATCTATGTCAGCTATGTGTAAAACTACCCACTGTACTATCTCACCAGCACCTACTGATAGAACTTTAAGGAAAATTGCTAGAGTCTGATGATTTGTCTGTGACCATCAAAAGAACATATAACATTGGAGTATTTAGGGACCAGAGTGATAATACTTTGCATGTGACTGACCTGGGTTCAATCAAAGAACTTTCCATTTAGTAGTATTATATAAATATCTTGTAAAATAACAGCAACTGGGAAATGTTTATTTTGGGGGGGTTGAAGTTGTCCATACCCAGCAATGGTCAGAGGTTACTGCTGACTCTGTGCCCAGGAATTATTTCTGGGAGTACTCGGGGACATATGGGATGCTGGGGATTTAACCTGGATTGGCCATGTGCAAAGCAAACATCCTACCTGCTATACTGTTGCTCTAGCCCCATTGAAAATTTATCTTCCATCAAATAAAACAGCAGTAAAAGTAAATAATGGACAATAAAATATGTATCATTCTTAGCATCTGTTCTAAGGCAGTTCTTGTAAATCTTACATACTATTACATAAAATGCACACTATTCATTTGGCTTTCATAAATGCAGTACAAGATAAGGAGTAAGCCCTGAGCACCACCTAGTGTGGATCAAAACCAAACATTTTTTTAAAAATTTTTATTAGTGAAACACCATGAGATACAATTGTAGACCTACAAATTTTTGTGCTTGGGTTTCAGTTATGCAATAATCCAGCACCCATCCCTCCACCAGTGCCTATTCTCCATCATTTACTTTTTTTTTTATTTTTGTTAGTGAAACACCATGAGATACAGTTGTAGATTTACAAATTTTTGTGCTTGGGTTTCAATTGTACAATGATCAAACACTCATCCCTCCACCAGTGCCCATTTTCCACCACCACTGATCCCAGTATCCCTCCCACTCCCCATCTCCCCATCCCACCTTGCCTCTGTGGCAGGGTATTCCCTTTTGTTCTCTCATTTTGGGTGTTGTGGTTTGCCAAAGAGGCATTGCGTGGCAATTATGTTTGGTCTATAGCCTACTTTCAGCATGCTTCTCCCATCCTAGGAGGATCCTCCCAACACCCTTTATTTGGTACTCCTTTCTCTATCTGAGCTCCCTTTCCCCCTAGAATGTGTAGCTGGCCTCCAAGCCATGGAACAAAACTGGTACTAATCTCGGCCACTCTTGGGTGTTAGTCTTCTATTTTGTTACTTTATGTTCCCCAAATGAATGCAATCTTTCTATGCCTATCCCTCCCTTTCTGACTCATTTCGCTTAACATGATACTTTCCAGGTAGTACCACTTGTATGTAAATTTCATGACTTCATCTTTTCTAACAGCTACATAGTACTCCATTGTGTGGATGTACCAAAGTTTCTTTAACCAGTCAACTGTTCTCGGGCACTCAGGTTTTTTCCAGATTCTGGCTATTGTAAAGAGTGCTGCCATGAACAAACAAGTGCAGATGTCACTTTGATTATACTTTTTTTGCCTCTCTGGGATATATTCCCAGGAGTATCAAAACCAAACATTTCTTAACCATTTTTTTCTTTTTTTCTAAAAGCTCTGTTAATTCTAATTCAGGGTTTTTTTTTTTTTTTTTTTTTTGCTTTTTGGGTCACACCCGGCGATGCACAGGGGTTACTCCTGGCTCTGTACTCAGGAATTACCCCTCGTGGTGCTCAGGTGACCATATGGGATGCTGGGAATCGAACCCAGGTCAGTCACGTGCAAGACAAATGCCCTACCCGCTGTGCTATTGCTCCAGCCCCTCTAATTCAGTTTGACCTATGGTTTTGACCTGGCAGTGCTTGGGGTATGGGATGCCAGGGATCAAATATGGATCAGCCATATGCAAACAAATGCTGCTATACTATCTCTCTGGCCCCAAGTTTATTGGAAATTTAACCAAGACTAAACAAGATAATTTATTTTAAAAGGATGGGGAGGTACCCACACTTGGCAGTGCTTGGGGCTTACTCCTGGCTCTGCACTCAGGAATCACTCCTTAGTGAAACATGGGGGACCGTAGACACAGAGACAGTGCTAAGAATCAAACCTGGGTCAGCTGTATGTGTGTAAGGCAGATGTCTTACCCACTCTCCTAACACTCTGAACAAGGAAATTCTCAGTTCATTTTTTTATTATTCATTTCTGTATTAATGTTTCTTCTAATTAGGAGACTTCATTTCTAAACCAGATGTGATTTCCTTATTGGAGCAAGGACAAGAGCCCTGGAAAGTTGTGAGGAAAGAAAAAACGTATCCAGGTGAGTAAAGGCTTGTGGGCAGGAGGAAGGAGTCACCAGAGGAGGTCACCCAACTAGGGAGGAAGTAGGTTGGGAAGCCACGTATATTTCTGTTTATTTCTTTTTTTTTGAGGGGGGGCACAAGCAGCAGTGCTCAGAAGTTACTACACTGGTGGTTCTCTGGGCACTATATGGGATGCCAGTGATCAAACCTGGGTCTGCAAAGCAATCACCCTACTCGCTGTACTATCTCTCTCCTCTCCAGCCCTGCATTATTTAGGAAGGCCTCTTTTTTTTTTAATGAATCACCTTGAAATATAGTTACAGATTTACAAACTTTGGTGATTACGTTTCAGTCATACAATGATCGAATACCCATACCTCCACCACCAATGTTCCCAGTATCTCTCCTGCCTCCCGCAGGCACATTCCCTTTTATTCTCTTTTGGTAGGAAGGCCTCTTTTAAGGGCCATGACCTGAGAAAAGGTTGACACCTGGGGAGCAAATTAAGGTCTTAGTTGGGGATTTTAGAACTACTTCTTTATTCCATTTATTACTTTTTTTTTTTTTGGCGGTAAATCTTCAGTTTTCCATGGGATGGAAAGTCCTCTCCAAGTTCCTTTTTAGAAAACATTCTTCTCTCTATCTTAATTCATTTGCTTTCTTCCACATTAATATAAATAGTTCTAAATGGATAAAGGCAGAGCCAAGCATGATTCTAGACACCATCAATACAATGGCAAACAAAACCAGTAGAGTGCAAAAAAAACCAAACCAAACCAAAACAAACAAAAAAAAAACCCCAGTAGAGTACCTATGCTCATATAATTAGAGAAATTTCTTTTTTGTTTGTTTGTATTTGGGGGGGGGGGCTACACCCGGTGATGCTCAGGGTTTATTCTTGGTTGCACTCAGGAATTACTCCTGGAAATGCTCAGGGAACAATATAGGATGTTTGGGATTGAATCCGGGTCAGCCGCGTGAAGGCAAATACCCTACCAACTGTGCTATTGCTCCAGCCCCCAAGAAACTTACTTTCTATAAATAGAAAGTAGTATCAAGTAATAAAACAGTGTGCTATGAAGTAAGTATTTAGAGGGTGGCATGAGGTAGGAAGGCTATTTTAGTTATATGTTGGAAACCTTTTTTTCTTAATATTTCTTATAAATATTTGGGAAATAAAAAGCTACATTAAAGGTTGGAATCTACCACAAGTGTGTAGGGGACAGAGGGTAGGTAAGACAGAGAAGTATGACAATAATAGTTGGAAATGATCACATTGGATAAGAACTCAGTATTGAACGTGGGTAAAGGGATAAACATGATAACCTTTCAGTATCTGTATTGCAAACCACAGTGCCCAAAAGGAGAGAGGGGGAGACAGAGGGAGAGAGAGGAATGAGGAGAAAGAGGGAAAGAGAGAGAAAGGGAGGGAGAAAGAACCTGCCATAGAGGTGGGGGGTGCGAGGAAAGTTGGGGGTGGTGGGAGGGAAACTGGGGACATTGGTGCTGGAAAATGTACACTGGTGGAAGGATGGGTATTAGAACACTGAGTGAAACCTGACCATGAATAGCTTTGTCATGGACTATCACACAGTGATTCAATAAAATAATAATCACGATCACGACCATCCTGTTGTTCGTCGATTGCCTCGAGCAGGCACCAGTAATTTCTCATTTGTCTCAACCTAGCCCTGAGATTTTAAAAAGTGCCATATTCAAGGCTCTTTCAGGGTTAGGGGAATGAGACCCATCATTGTTACTGGTATTTGGCATATTGGATACGCCACGGGGAGTTTGCCAGACTCTGCCGTGTGGGCAGGTTACGTTTGCTAGCCTGCCAGGTTGTCCAAAGTAAGAACGAGATAATAAGACCCGCGCGCTTCCAGGAGCTGGGTTATATAGTCTCTGGGTCTTGGCCGTTGATGGGATTACACGGGATTAATAATGATAATAATAATAGACTACATTAAAGAATATGCTTGACATTGTTTTGATGCAGTTAGAGAGCAAAACTGCAAGCAGGGTCCTTAAGATAGGAATGGAGGGCTGGAGTGATAGTACAGCGAGTAGGGTGTTTGCTTTGCACGCATCCGACCTGGGTTCGAGTCCCATCATCCTATATGGTACCTCAAGCAAGGCCAGAAGTAACTCCTGAGTGCAAAGCCAGGAGTAACCCCTGTGCATTGCCGGGTGTGACCCAAAAAGCAAAAAAAAGACAGGCATGGAATAAGGGATAATATCAAAGGAACGAATGCAGTAGGAGAGGCAGGTGGTCGAGAGAGGATAGCACATTCTTCCATAATTGCTATTTTCTCACATGCAGTAAGAAAGATGACCATGAATAGAATGTGAGTATTAGTATTAGCATTCAGTTTGGGCTTATTTATGTTAAAAATTTAAGTTGATACTCAGGAGAGTAACTTGTATGTCAGATGTTACTTACTGTTTTCAAAGATTGGTATACTAGCTCCACTGTTGAAATGCAAATACAGCTTCTTGGAAATAAATGATCTCTATCCCAAAGTTGATTGTGTCAACAGACCAAGAAGGTCAGTAATAACAGTGCCCCAGGATATTTAAGAATTAAATTCATATAATTTTGTTGTTGGTGGTGGGGTGGTGGTGGTGTTTTGGGCCACTCCTAGCTCTGCTGAGGGCTTACTCCTGACACTACACTCAAGGATAACTCCTGATGGACTTGACAAATCATATAAGATGCCAGGGATTGAACCTGGAACAGGATGTGCAAGAAAAGGGCCCTCTCCACTGTATTCTCTCTGATCCCAAGTCCAGATGATTTGTGTGATTTTTTTCCATTTAGTTAAAGATTAGTTTCTGCTGTGAGAGGAATAACAGTTATGATTTTTTAAGATACCTTTGATAGGGAGAACTTTTCTTTTTTCCCCTTTCTATTCTCAGTGTTAATTAGAAGTCTTTCAGCAGAATTGGATTGGGATTTGGTCTATTCATTAATGTAGATTAGATTTTTTTTATGTACATACCACTAATGTAATATTTTTAACTTTAAGCATTAGAATGTATGATTGGGGGCTGGAGTGATCAAAACATCTGACCTTGCTTAGATTCCTGGCATCTGATATGATTCCCCGAGTACTTCTGGGACTGATCCTTAAGCACAGACCCAGGAGTTAGCTCTGAACCAGGGTTTGGCCCAAAATAAAATAAAAGATATGACTGCCCAATACTTTAAATTTGCCAAACTTTTCTTTCTGTTGTGTCTCATGTTTATTTTAATTTCAGTTACACCACAAATTATATAAATCATATTATTTCAGTGTAAATTTTTGTTTTTGTTTTGGTCATACCTGGCAGTGCTTAGGGCTTCTGCTCTGCACTCAGGGATCACTCCTGGCACAGATCAGGGGACTATATGTAGTAGCAGGGATTGAATCTGGGTTGACTGCTTTAAAGGGAACTCCCTCCCTGCTATACTATTAGTCTGGCCTTATTTTGTTTGTTTGTTTGTTTGTTTGTTTGTTTTGAGCAGTGCTTAGGATTGAGGAAGCTTATAGCAGGGATTTGAACCCATGCTTCCCACATGCAAAACATGTATTCCAGCTCTTTGAGCTCTCAGACCTGTTTTCAGTTTAATTAAAAAATAATTTGTTTTTGTTTTGGGGTCACACCCCATAGAGTTTGGGGGACCATGCAGTGCCTACAATCAAACCCTAACCTCTTATATGCATGCATAGCATGCACTGCAGCCCATTGAGCTATTTATTAATTCACTTTGGATTTTGGGCCACACCCAGCGATACGCAAGGGTTACTCCTGGCTCTGCATTCAGGAATTATGCCTAGCAGTTGTTGGGGAACATTGGGATGCCAGGGATTCTAATCTGGGTCATTTGCGTGCTAGGCAAGCACCTTATCCACTGTAATATCTCTCCAGTCCCTCCACCCTGAATTTTATAATTTTATAAGTATATTTTTAGAATTTCATTGAACATGATTTTTGTTTCTTCTGGTGTTTGTGCATCATACAGCAGTGGTCAGGGTTTATTTCTGGTTCTGTGCTCAGGAGTGATCCTTAGTGGTTCCAGGGATTCCTACTGAGTTCAGCCACACGCAAGGCAAGTGCCTTAGCTCCTGTTCTGTCTCTCCTGCCCCTTTCTGTTGCTTTTTATATCTGTCATATAAGTACTACTTTTAGGAGTAAAAATCTTTGTATTTGCTCTCGTTTCAGGTTTGGAGAGTAGGTGTGAGATCAAGACATTAGCTTCAGAAAATGACATTTATGAAATAAACTTACCTCAGTGGAAGATAATGGAAAGAATTAAAAACCATAGTCTTAAGGGCTTCATTTTAAGAAGTGATTGGGAGGCCAAAAGAAAATCTGAAGAACAAGAGGGATGTTTCGGTCAAGTAAAAATGACATCTCAAAAAGCGTCCTCTTACCAGAAATGTACATCTCTTACTACACATCAGAGGATTCATTTCATTGAGAAACCTTATGAGTGTGAAGAGTGTGGAAAGGCCTTTAGAGTCCGCCAACAACTTACTTTTCATCACAGAATTCATACTGGGGAGAAACCCTATGAATGTAAGGAATGCGGGATGGCTTTTAGACAGACTGCACACCTCACTCGACATCAAAGACTTCATTCTGGTGAAAAACTCTTTGAATGTAAGGAATGTGGAGAATCTTTTATGTGTGGCCCAGATCTTCGAGTGCATCAGAAAGTTCACATTGGTGAGAAGCCCTATGACTGTAAGGAATGTGGAAAGGCCTTCAGAGTGCGCGGCCAGCTTACTCTCCACCAGAGGATCCATACGGGCGAGAAACCCTACGTGTGTACAGAATGTGGGAAGGCCTTTAGACAGTATGCACATCTTACTCGCCATCAAAAGCTGAATAGTGCTGACAAACTCTATGAATGCAAAGAATGTGGAAAGGCCTTTTTGTGTGGATCTGGCCTCAGAGCACATCACAAACTTCATACTGGTGAGAAACCCTATGAATGTAAGGAATGTGGCAAGGCCTTCAGAGTGCGACAACAACTAACACTCCACCAGAGAATTCATACGGGGGAGAAACCATATGAATGTAATGAGTGTGGAAAGACCTTCAGTCGTGGGTATCATCTTATTCTTCATTACAGAATTCATACTGGTGAGAAACCTTATGAGTGTAAAGAATGCTGGAAGGCCTTTAGCCGTTACTCCCAACTGATTTCCCACCAGAGTATTCATATTGGTGTTAAACCCTATGACTGTAAAGAATGTGGGAAAGCCTTTAGGTTATTCTCACAACTTACACAGCATCAGAGTATTCATATTGGTGAGAAACCTTATAAATGTAAGGAATGTGGGAAAGCCTTCAGATTGCGCCAAAAACTCACTCTCCACCAGAGCATTCATACTGGTGAAAAACCCTTTGAATGTAAGGAATGTAAGAAGTCCTTTAGACTTAATTCATCTCTTATTCAACATCTGAGAATTCATTCTGGGGAGAAACCTTATGAGTGTAAGGAATGTAAGAAGGCCTTTCGACAACATTCCCACCTTACCCATCATCTGAAGGTTCATAATGCAAAAATATAAGAAAGTCTTTTCAGTTCTGTGCTGTATAAAATTTTGAGTTGTATTATTTAATCCCTTTGCTTCACACAGGCAGCGGGGTAGGGGAGTTCATCAATTGATTTATTGAATTTGTTGGCCTGAGAGAGAACTCAGTGGGCTGGAGCACATGCTTTATACACGGAAGGCCTGTGTTCAGTTTTGGCACTATATGGTCCCCAGGCACTGTCAGGAGCAAACTCTGAGCATTTAAGCCATGTGTGGCCCAGAAACCTAAAAGGAAAGAATGTTCATATATCCTATCATCACACAAACCTGATAAACTTCATATTTATTTTTAAATTCCTGTTAACAGTAGTGGGAAAGATATGTCTATCCCATAACTTTCCTATTTGTGTTACATTGAACAAGATGCTCAACTGCTCTGTGCTTGCTATTCCAATTCTTAAATTTGTAAAATGGTGTTGTAATACTGTGACATAACGAAGATGGCTAGAGACTTGTTAACATTGCCTAGCAAGAGATGGGTTCCACATCCAATCTCCATGAACATGGGCAGACTGAGACTGCTTTGAGTAAAAGTAGTGCTCTGCCAGTTTCTGGACCCAGGACTTACTGGTAGATTTTACTCTCTCGAAAGAATTCACTCAAGTTGAGATCCTGCTGTTACCTTACAAGTGTGTTCACTTTATTGAACAGACCACTTGGGGAAGTCCTATGACCACATGACTACAGAGATTCTGTTCAGCCCTGCGGGGCTTGCTGACAAGCCCACTGCAATTTTCTATTATATACACACACACACACACATACACACACACACACATATTGTTTTGGGGCTACAGTTGGCAGTGCTCAGCATTTACTACTGGCTCTGTGCTCAGAAATCACTCCTGGAAGGCTCAGGGAACCATATGTTGTATCAGGAATCAAACCGGGCTGGCTGCATGCAAGGCAAGCATCATACCCATCAGACTATCTTTCCAGCCCTACAACTCTGCTTTTCAACTTGCTTCAGTTTTTTAGACATTGGGATTTACATTACTGTCAGAAGTAATGTTTCCAATGTATATTTTCCACTTTCACACTATATGGTCAGTGTCCCCAGGCTTTCTCCAACCCATCAGCAGACAGGGCTATTTGCCTTGTAGGGCCTATTACCGTTGATAATTTTTTTTTAACCACTGATAATTTTTTGTTCCAATGTTTCTTTATAGTCCACCTGAGATGAATCATTCTGTGTTTGGCTGTCTTCTTCTGACTCACTTCACTCAGCTAGTACCTTCTAGTTCCATTCACATAGAAGCAAATTGCAGATTTAAGCTCTTCTTATAATTGAGAAACCCCATCATGTTATCTACTTATCTACTTATCATCTTTATCTGCTTATCTCTTTTTGGTGATTTTGATTGTCTCCAGATATTGGATGTTGTGAATATGCTTCAATAAACATAGGAGTGGAAATGTCTTTTCAAATGAATTTTTGGGCTCTTGGGGGTAAGTGGCAAGAAATGGGATCATTGAATCATATGGAAGCTCTCCTGCTGTTTTCTACAGAAGTTGAGCCAGATGGCATTTGCATCAACAATGGATGAGGATTCCCTTTTCCCCACACCCTTCCCAATACTGGTTCTTTTTGTGATGTGGGCCAATCTTACTCCACCATGACTTTTGAGTGGAATAATTTTGGGTATGTTAGACCAACAGCCAGTTGAATGACCTTAGCTGATGCTGTTAGAACAGAAAAATTGGCCGGAATGCCCTATATAAGATTTTGACAAAACCATGAAATATGATTGTTTTTTATCACTAAATTGTTTTATTATTATTAACACTAGTAATAAGCTTGAAAACTTGTGTGTGGCTGGAGAGATATTACAGTAGGCATTGCCTTGCACACAGCTAACCTGTGTTTTTTTCCCAGTAACCCTTATGGTTCATGAAGCGTGCTTGGAGTGATCTCTGATTGCTGCTTGGAGTGATCCCTGATTGCAGAACCAGAGCAAGCCTTGAGCACAGCTTAATGTTCCCCACTCCAACCACTCAAAAAAAAAATCATGAATGAAAGATTGGGTATGGCCTACACAACAATTAAAAGACTAAAATCCTATGTAGCCTTTTAAAAGTACTCAGTTTGCAGGGCTGGAGTGATACCACAGCAGGTAGGGTGCTTGCTTTACATGCAGCTGACCCAGGTTTGATCTGAAATCAGGACCCTGTATGATCCCCTGAGCCCTGCTATGAGATATCGCTGAATACAGAACTGCATATACCTAGCTTGAGCACTGCTTAGGTATGGTCCCCAAACAAAATCCTCAAATTATCTCATCTTTGGCCAGTAAGAATTTTCTCAAATTGGAGCCAAGTTTCTTGTTTTGATCACTACTAACCTTTGATAACTCCTTATTAAAGGAAATATTCTTGCCTAAAATAGTCATTCCAGGGTCTGGAGAGATAGTTAAGGGGCTTCCCTGTCATGTGGCCAACCCTGAATTTCAAAGGTTTGAAATTTTGTTTTGAAAAATTTTTGTTTGAAAAATTTTTCAAAAGTTTAAAAAGTTTCAAAAGGTTTGAACTAAACCCTGATTTAGTCACCATCAGATTACAGGAAGCTTGGGTGATAAATGACAACCAAATCCAGAATGTGAGGCAGAGACAGGGAATTCCAGAAAATAAATAAGACAGTAAAAGTAAGTCTTCTAACTTGATAGAGGGGTTGAAAATTAAGACTTATAACTTGATAGAGGGGTTGGGGAAAGTATAACAGGTAAGATGTTTGCCTTGTATGCTACTGCCCAGCACCCCATACATCCCACAAGCCCTGCCAGGAGTGATCCCTTAGTGCAGAGCTAGGAATAAGCCTTGAGCATTGCTGGGTGTGGTGCAAAAAAATTTTACCAGGAAAATATAGTGTATGGATATTTGAGGTCCTTGTTTTAAAATGTACCTAGAATATGTTTGGTGTGATAAGTCACAGATATGGTGGTTATAACAAGTTTATGCTCAAGCTTTCTAGAAACAGGCAGTATAACATCCTCATGACTCCACGTGTAAATACCCAATTCTGCTTGGAGGCAGAATTGTAGAGAAGACAGCGCATGGTTCAGAGTTTTCACTGGCATTTTCCCGAAAAGCTGTGGGCAGCATGATAGCAGGTAGGTGCACTGAATAAATGAAGGATTGGGTTATTGGAATAATTTTGTTGTGCTTTGAATTGATAAATCTTGAAACTGGAGAGATGTTTAGTGGATAAGGTGCATGTTTTGTACGTGGCTGATCACAGATCCTCAGCTCTGCATATGATCCCCTAAGCACTACCAGGAGTATCCCAGAGCTATGATCACCACTAGGTATGCTCCCCCATCCCTGGCCCAATTTATTAGTCTAGGCAGAATAACAAAAAAGATCAGGATAAAGGAGTCATCAGAATGGATTCCATATACATTAAAATAAAAATGTTTGTAATAGCTTATACTTTACAATAGAGAAAGAAACATAGGTAAGAGTCACTGTCATTGTCAGGGTCCTCCCGTCGTTTATCGATTTGCTTGAGGGGGCTCAGTAATGTCTCCATTGTGAGACTTGTTACTGTGTTTGGCATATCGAATACATCACAGGTAGTTTGCCAGGCTTTTGCCATGTGGGTGAGATACTCTTGGTAGCTTGCCAGGCTCTCTGGGAGGGACAGAAGAATCGAACCCAGGTCGCCTGGGTCGGCCGCGTGCAAGGCAAATGCCCTACCTACTGCAAAATCTAAAAGTGAAAGTCCCAAGGTCAGGTTGTTTTTTGTATAGGTGCTCATAGAAATTCCTAAAAGCAGAGCAAAGCATTGGTACTAATTCCAATGAAAATAAAATTGAGGACAAGATTCTATCACTTATCACATAATGAATTCAGTGGTTTATTACTGTTTTCAGTGTGATTTACTAATGTGGTTCAAGCTATAAAATGAATTTATTCTCTCAATTTTATATACCATTGAATTATTATTGAATTGTTCCACAAATTAAAAAAAATAAAAGAGGTCTAGAAATAGAATACAGTGAATATGGTGCATGCTCGCCCGGTTTGAGTCCCAGCACCACATATGGTCCCATGAACCCTACCAGGAATAAGCCCTGAACACTGCCAGGTGTGGTCCAAAAGCCAAAATAATAAAAATTTGATGTCAGTAACTTTGATGTAGATGAAATAGCGCAGTTCTTTGAAAACACAAACTACTGAAACTTAGAATAAGATAACAAAATGCCCATTTGTTGTACAGAATGGAATTAGGAGGCTGGAAAGATTAATGCAGTTGATAATGCCTTGCATGCAGCTAACCCTGGTTTGATGCCCCGTACCCCATATAGTCCCCCGAGCACCACCAGCAGTAATTCCTGAGTGCAGAGGCAGAAGTAACCCCTGAACTTTGCCAGGTGTGGCCCCAAAACAACAAAAATCTATAGAACCATATCTCACAGAAACAGAGACAAAAGTCTTCACAAAATTACCAGATGTCTTACATGTATTGAAAGATTTGCAAATCAATTGTTTTAAAAGTATTAGATACTATTACTAAGTAGGATTTATGTCAGCTACACAAGGCTGGTTAAAATTTTTTAAAATAAATTAACATAGGATCAGAGATACAGTACAGCAGGTAAGGCACTTGCCTTGCACACAGTTGACAAAGGTTTGATCCTCAACATCACAGAAATAATCTTTGGGTACAGAGCTAGGAATAAACCCTAAGCACAAATATGTGTGACTCAATGTCCCTTCCCCACTCCAAAAAAAAAATAATAATTTGGGGGCTGGAGTGATAGTACAACAAGTTGGGCACTTGTACTCAGCTGACCCAGGTGCAATCTCCAGAACCGCAAATGGTCCTCCTATCTCTGGCAGGAGTGATCCCTGAGCACAGTAAAACAAAAAAATCAAAATGGATTGTGTTATTTTTCTATAGCATCAGATGAGAAACCTAAAATTTTGTTGCTGTGAATACTGTTAACTGTAGTATTCATGATTGTAGCCCCATGTATGAAAATAACAAAATATTGTAATAGTCTAGTTGAAATAGTTGATCTCTACCTTTTAAATACTTATAACTTTTATATTTGTTTTGTTATTGGGCCAAACATGGCGGGACTGAGAGCTTACTCTTGGCTCTAGATGCAGAGATCACTCCTTGAGGCTCAGGGTACCATATGGGGTGCCAGGGATTGAACCCGGTTGACCTTGTGCTAGGTAAATGCTTTACCCACTATACTATTGCTCTGGCCCCCCAAAAGCTTCATGTTTTTAAAATTATTTTTATTGTTTTTTTGGGCCACACCTGGCAATGCTTAGGGGTTTCTCTGCACTTAGGAATCATTCCTGGTGGTGTTTGTAAATATAAAGATGGAACCACATTGGGTGTTGGGGATGAAACCCAGGTTGGCCTCATGCATGGCAAGCACCCTTTCTGCTGTACTATCTCTCAAGCCCCACATCTGCTGTAGGGTGGTAAGTGGCCCTGGTTGCCCCAGCAGTGCACTACTGACTAAACAGGCCAATGGGGACAGAGCAATAGCACAGGGGGTAGGGCGTTTGCCTTGCACGCAGACAACCCGGGGTTGATCCCTAGCATCCCATATGGTCCACTGAGCACCACTAGGAATGATTCCTGAGTGAAGAGGAGGGAGTAACCCCTGAGAATCACCAGTGTGTTACCCCGAAAGCAACA